CGGGGGCCTGGCCTTTAGTCCCCTGGTTTCTCCTGCTAGTCCTGGTTTCTCCTGCTAGACCAGATTTCCCCTGAGTGATGCCTCTTGGCAGTTCAAACTGTACTCTGGACCTGCCGTTTGTTGGGTGTGGAGGGTGGCTATTGAGACACCCCCCCACACTCTATTGTTTTGATTTTTTCCACTTGCCCCTCCCCCCCCGCTGGCAATACAAGTTTCGTTTTCCCCCTGCTGATGGGAGGGGGAGTTGAAGGTTGGGTGTCTCTAGTTTTCCCCTCGTCTTTATGCAGGCTTGCTCTGATAATCCCTCCCCCGGAGAGCCTAGGAGAGATTTTATTCGAATTCCCCGCTCTATGGGAGATGAGCTGAGTAATACGCTCCTGTTTTATTGTTGCAATCTGTCGGAGAGTGGCAGTGGTTACTTTAGCTCTCCAAGATGGTGGCCGCTGGTTTCCTTGGTGGAGGTTCCCTTGTGGGGGATAGAACTGTCCTGCTTCCTTCCCTGTCTGAAATCCCAAACTCAGCCCGGGGCTCCGTGAGTGCTCAGGCAGCAGGATTCCACACAATCTGCAGCAATCTCCCTGCTTGCTGGTCGCTTCTCGGCGGCTCCCCGCAGTCTGTAGCCGCGGGGCAGGCCTCGCGGATCAGTCAGCCCAGATGTTGGGTCGCACAGTTGGCTCAAGTATGAGACTCAGTTACCGGATCTTGGTGCTGGAAATCCTTCCTCTAGGTTTCGGTGCACCCCCGTTTTGCTGTAAGTTCCTAACAAGATAGTTTTTTGTCGTTCTAACTCGTTCTAACTCGTTATTCACCCGCGCAGTGGCACACGGGGTGTGATGCACTCTATTCTTGGCCATCTTGGGAATCCCACCTTAAATACTTCTAATACTTACCAGTGTCTTCTGAATTAGCCTTTCCTGTTAGATCCTATTCATTTGTCCCCATTCTGCCTTCTGATTCTAGTATTCACAAGAGAATGGATGAAAAGCCAGTTTTTTTCCTGTGGGCTGTGATGATTCTGATATAAGTATCCTTTCATTTTTCTTTGCTTGATGTAGTTAATAGTTAAGATCATTGATAATTTTATCTGCTGTCTTCAGTCTAGACTTTCTAGTCTGTTATGTGAGCTGTGGCTCCAAAATAACACATACTACTTGTGTAGCATGAATAGGAACTTGGCTGATTGAAACACTACACTGTGCTATAGTTCTCATTTGTACATAAGAAATTACTCTGAGAGGATTTGCAGCCCTTGAAGTTACTTTTAAGTCATTTTGTTTGTTTTTATTTTTGGAATTTGCATAATAGTTGTTGAATTTACAAATGGCTCATGGCCCTGGCCCCAGATATTTTCCCATTCCTTAGTAGGTTAGGTTTTAAAGCAATCTGCCCCATCTTGTTACTTAGTTCAGTGGGGTTTTTAAAAACTTTGTGCAGTACTTGTATTTGCGATAAAGATGTTTTCTTGAAACCAACAGTTTATGGCATTCTTGAATTTTCATTTCTTTAATTTGTGATAGTAGTTGTCATCTTTCCCTTCTCTGTTCCTTCTTTCCAACCTGTACCATTCACTTTAGATCATTGTAACCATCTCTCTTACTGAAAGTGTTGATGAGGCAGGGTCAAGTACGGAGCGTTATTAAAACAATTCTATTTTATTTTAAAATTTTTGGTACTGGGGATTGAATCTAGGGGTGTTTTACCACTAAACTACATCCTCAGCCTCTTTATTTTTTGACACAAGGTCTCACCAAGTTGTTGAGGCTGTCCTTAAACTTAGGATCCTCCTCCCTTAGCCTCCTGATTAACAGGGATTACAGGTGTAGGCCACTGGGCCCTGTGTCAAGCAATTCCAGATTAGCATCAAATCATTAATAATAAAATTTTTTTAATACCTCTGTAGAGCATGGTAGAAATTTTTATTTTCACATCAAAACCTGAAAAAACGATCTTTTCTATAGTTTGGTAAGTTACTAGTAACAATAACATCAGATAATTTTGAAATATTTTTATACTTATCTTGGTTTCGTTTACATATTCAGGAAATCCACTTACCCAAGATATATTGAACCTCTATCAGGAACCAGATGGAACAAAAAGGCTACTGAATTATTTGCTTGATAATTTGTCAGGTACTGCAAAAAGAAGTAAGTGGTCACTTGTTTCAACCTTTTTATTAGGAAGACATTTAAGAATATTGCTTGATTTCATATTTTTTATATTCAACTAGTTTCAACAGAACAACCACCTCCAAGATCTTGGATTATGTTGCAAGAACCAGATAGAACAAGGCCAACTGGTTGGTATCCTTATTTCTTATCTCTTTTTATTTGTCTCTATAAACCTAACAGTATTTTGGGCATGCGTTAGATTATGGGTAGTGTTGTCAGAACTATTTTTGATTTGGTTTGAAGGGTAATAATAAAGACTTAATAACCAAGATAATATCCAAGATAGAGATTTAATTCTTATTTATCTGGCCTCTCTGTATATAAGCTATAATAAATATACTGCCATGCAGTATTTCTCAAATGGGGGCAATTTCATTTTCCAAGGGCACATTTAGCAATGCCTGGGGACAATTTTGATTAGCAAAATTAGGGTAAGTGCTACTGGTTTCTAGTATGTAGAAAAAACCAGGGATACTGCTAAACATCCTTTGGTGCATAGCCCAGTCCCTCGCCCATAATTTTAGTAGTGCCATTATTAAGATACAAAGTATCAATTAAATTAATTGTAATAACCACACAAAAATATTTCTGTATTGGAAATTTACACATCCTAATATGTTCCAATATATGTGACATTGTAATATTGTAAGATAAGTAAATCCTTAAAGAATTTAGGCAGCTCCCATGGCATGTCTAATAGGATTTGGTTTATGGTACTACTCCTCTTTTGTATTAATCAGTACTTTGATACCTCATTTCATTCTACTTTGTTTTATTGTGCTTCGAAGATACACTGCATTTTTTTTTTTAACAAATTAAAGGTTGTAGCAACTCTTTGTCAAGTCTGTCATTGCCATTTTTCCAGTAGCTTAGATATTTATTAGCAATAAAATTTCTTTATTATGTGCAGTGTTGTTTTTAGACATAATGCTATTGTACTCTTAATAGACTACAGTGTAAACAGCTTTTATGTGCACTGGGAAACTTGAAATTTCTCTGAGGGGGCTACATTTGCTTTTTGGAAGAAAACTAGACATTTCTATTAAGGAAACTACCTGTCAAGTTTCCACTTTCTTCATTAATAATTAATGATGTGGAAGGATTATAAAATTAAGGAATCTTGGTTTAGAGGTTGAAGGGCTCATGATCTTAGTCTTCTAGTTTTCAAACTTTCTGTGTATACCTCTGTAGAAAATACCACACACATTGTATTCAGACTTGTTCACATATCTGTCCTTTCATTGTTCATTCTTTATAACCCCCCCACCACCATATCTGTATGGCTTTTTAATGAATATAGATTGAGTGAATAAAATCAAACTTAAATGTTAAATGTAAACTATTACTGAAATTAATTCTGTTTTTTTTTTTCTGCCACGTGTGTGAATAAGTAAAGTTATCTTTCCTACAGCCTTGTTTTCTGTCATGTGCTATAATGTTCTTTGTGATAAATATGCGACCCGGCAGTTATACGGCTACTGTCCATCATGGGCACTAAATTGGGACTACAGGAAAAAGGCCATTATTCAAGAAATCTTGAGCTGCAATGCTGATATTATAAGTCTTCAGGTAAGTCATACAGAAGAGTGTTTAAATTTCATTAATCTCCCAGCATTGGCAACAAAAGGAGAAATTACAGTGGAATAAGTTAAACTGACACATTTGAAATCCTAGCTTTAGTGGTTTTAAAATATTGCCGTTTATCATGAATAATAATTCAGTCCTAGTGGGAAAAGGATTGAATCTTATATACACTAACTTTGGCTTCTCAGTTCAGCCCTTATAATAACAATCTTAGGCAAGTTACTTGAGTCTCATGAGTCTGAAATTGAGATCTGTGAAGTTCTTCTATTTCTCTGATTCTTGTTCATATGCATAGGAGTATGCATTTTCCCATTTGTTACTCCTAAACAACGAAGAATTGATCTTGGCATTTGGTACTTATAAAATGTGATCTGGTTGATTTCAGGTAAATTACATTGGAAAAATGTTTTACTCTTTAATCTGCATCTCAATCCTTTGAAAAAATTACTTTAGGATTTCAAACTGTGACTACAGAGCTAATATGTAGAACTAATTTTGTCTTGTGAAGTAACTTTACTGTTTATAATTTTTTAGGAGGTTGAAACAGAACAATATTATAGTTTTTTTCTGGTAGAACTGAAAGAACGTGGTTATAATGGATTCTTTAGTCCTAAATCTCGAGCTAGGACAATGTCAGAACAAGAAAGAAAACATGTTGATGGCTGTGCAATATTCTTCAAGACTGAAAAGTAAGTCCATCTTTTTTTTTTTTTTTTTTTTTTTTACGAAAATGTTCACAATATTTGCAGGGTGGGAGCTAAGGGTGCAGAAATTAATTGGCAAATAAAAGATTAAAACACATTCATTATTGCTCAGAGAACGATATTAACTTGGGGTTTTGTTTTTAATCATCAAAATTAATCTTGTTTTAGAAACATATTTAAAATGCTGTTGTTTCTTCAGGTGTTTACTAGGGATTTAACTCCAATTGTTAATTGAAGCACTGTGTAGTTAACATTCCCTCTAAGATATGAGAGGGATTATTAAATCCATACTTTGCAAAATAGTTTTAAAAGTTAAAAACTAGAATATTCCAACCTGAAACCTAAACAAAAGTTGACTTCATTAATTTGTAAAGGTATTCAAAGTATTGTATGTATCAGTAACAGACTGAAAAACAACTTTAAATGGATTTGGGAATCTGGTGCTAAATGTATGGAAGATTTTCCATCGTGATTTAAGTGCTGTCATTTCTCCTAAGGAAGTTTGGGAGAACTACATTTCCCACAAAGCTGATATCTTGATACTCCCAATTCTATGTTTGATTGTGTGTTTTTGTTTTTGTTTTAGATTTACTTTGGTTCAGAAACACACTGTTGAATTTAATCAGCTAGCAATGGCAAATTCAGAAGGGTCTGAAGCTATGCTGAACAGAGTCATGACAAAAGATAACATTGGAGTTGCAGTACTGCTAGAACTTCGAAAGGAATTGATTGAAATGTCATGTGAGTGACCTTTTTCACTTCCTGTAAAATTGACCTTCAAAATATAATAGAGCTGATTAGACATCTTTCAAAGGAATTATAGCAGAAATCATATTATGTATTAATTATCTTTTTTAACACCTGAAGAAACTCAGTGAGAATTTGTCTTTTCTAAATACTTTACATCTTTATCACAAAGTTTAAGATGAAAAAGCATTGCCCAGAAAAGTTATTACAAACTTTGAAAAGACATAAAGTCAAAAAAATATATTTTTGCTCCCAAGAATTTTTCATATAAAAGAAATAACTGCTCAGGGATAAGAATTTATAATTTCTTATCAGCAAGGAAGTTCTGTAACTTAAACTTCTCTTCCTGGCCTACTTATAATAATTATGTTAAAGGTCTTGAGTTCTGGGAAATGGGCCACTTACTTCAAATTAAAAGTATATTGAGAAGGGCTGGGGCTGTGTCTCAGTGGTAGTGCACTTGCCTGGCGTGAGTTAGGCACTGAGTTTAATTCTCAGCACCACATGTAAATAAGTAAAATAAAAATCTATCAACAACTAAAAAAAAATTTTTTTTAAGTATATTTAGAGTAATCGTCCTGTTGAAAACTAAAGCTTCTGTCACTTGAACAATTAGAACTGGGATATTTAATGGGAAGGATAGCACATATGAAAGACCTTAATGGGTGCCTCAAAACATACTCAAGAAAGAGCATTTACATTTAATTTTGAGAGGCTTAATTTAGGACATATAAACTAAAACCAAATATTTCAAGGAGGAAAAACCTATTTAAAAATCAAGCTATCCCAGATAGAATGGCTTATTTTTGTACAGATAGTGAATTTACACTGTGTTGGATGAATGGGTTATTTGTTTATAGTGAATTTACACTGTGTTGGAAGTATCAGCCCTGAAGCTTAGATAATCTATTTCTAAGGTTTGTTGAATGGCATAGTTACTGATCAAGTGGGAAATTATTAGATATATTTGAGGGTTTTTTTCTATTCTGAGACTCTTGAGATTTATCACTTGCTTTTAGATTCTAAGAATCTGTGGGCTGATGGGAGGGTTTTGTCTGTTTTTTTTCTTTTTTTTCTTTTTATCTAATGTAGCTGGAAAGCCACATCTTGGAACAGAAAAACAACTTATTCTTGTGGCTAATGCTCATATGCATTGGGACCCTGAATACTCTGATGTAAAATTGGTACAAACTATGATGTTCCTCTCAGAAGTAAAGAACATTATTGATAAAGCTTCTCGAAGTCTCAAATCCAATGCATTGGGAGAATTTGGAACTATTCCACTTGTGTTATGTGCAGATCTTAATTCTTTGCCTGACTCTGGTAAGAATATTATTTTATGTAGAATGAATTTTTTTGACTTAAAATGTTTTTATAATGTATTGTTTCTAACAATTCCAAGTTAGAAATCCAAATGAAATTTCAGTTTGTGGTGGCATCCATGAGGAGGTATTAAATTTTGTATGTGTGTAGTGGAAAATCATTTGGGGGGAAGAAAAAGGTGGTATTTGGGGAAACCTAAAGAGGGAGGACATTAATCATCTTTGATGAATAAGTGATATAGATTGAGCATCCCTCATTCAAAAATATGAAATGCCACAGAATCCAAAAATTTTGAGCTCTGACATGATGCCACAAGAGGAAAATTCTACATCATGAAACCTTGTTTTATGCTCACAGTTATTTAAAATATTAGAAAAATAACCTTCAGGTGTACATGAAATAGAAGTGAATTTTATGTTTAGATTTGGGTCCCATTCTCAGGGTCATTATGTATATGCGGATATGCAGAATCTTAAATTTAAAACACTCTGGTTCTAAGCATTTTAGGTAAGGTATACTCAACTTGTTATTTTGAAATTATATCACTTCAGGTGGAAATTGAAATCCTTTATTTACAGTCAATTAATCTTAATAAAAAAGAGCAAGGATCTTTATCCTAAAGTAGAAGAGTACAGAAAGCCTGATCTTGAATAAATAATTTACCTGAAGATGGTAGAGAGAATAAACCATAGCCTTTAGAATAGCAAACTACATTGTTGTTGTTCTTTGTGTTTCAGCTCCTTGTTTATACTATCATACAATATACACGTTTATATAGATAAATTTTTTAGCACATTATTGCCATCACAAAAGAGCCACAAAGAAGAAAGAAACAATCTTAATATTTGTTTTCTAAGATCTGTAATTCTTAGTCCATCTCATCAGGCTCTCAGGATACTGCTATTGAAGCGGTTGAGGGTTGTTTTCTGGCAATTTCTCTACGTGTTTGTGCCTTCTGTAATAGCTACAAAATATCTGAGAAGCAAGAAGAGAAAAGTACAGTGTTTCAAAAGCAAAGATGTGGGAAAATTCCAGTCTTGCTAACTAATTACATGAAAATTAAAATATATTTGCAGAGTGCATTTTATATTTAGTAAATTGGAAAAATAGTATCCAGGATGGTGAAGTAACTCAGTAATTAACTGGTGGCATTCTCTTTCATAATTGACAGGATTATAAAATGACACACAAAATCCCAAGATTAGGATTAATTATTTTGGAAGTAGGTTAGCATAAGCAAAACCTATGTACTAAGATGTTGATCGTGGTGTTATCTTTCTTTCTAAATAGTGCCAATAACCTGGATTTTGAAAAACAAGGAACTAGTTTAAACTCCAACCCTTTTTTTTGGCAGGGGTGGGTGGGTTGTAGGTGGACATAATACCTTTATTTTATTTATTTATTTTTATATGGTGCTGAGGATTAAACCCAGTGCCTCTCACATGTCAGATGAACACTCTACCATGGAGCACAACCTCAGCCCCAACCCAATTGTTTTTCTTACAGCCTTTAAAGGTAATTAGGAGGCACATCTGTTTGTGAGCTAGTTATAAATGAATAAAACAAAGTACAAAATGTTGGTACTATGATTACAACTACATAAAAATGGATTAGGACAAGTTATGGCAAGTGAAAAAATGGAAAGTGGGAATGTGAGTGGTTTTTAAAATTTTTTACTATTGCATTTTTTGTTCATTATAGTTATACATAATATTAGGGTCCATTTTGACATAATTATACAAGCATGGAATATAATTTGCTCCAATTCTGCCACTAGTACTTCCCTTTTTCATCCCCATCTTCTTCCCTCTGTTCCCCCTTCCTCTACTATACTGAACTATTTCATTTTTATAGCTTTTTTTAAAAATTAGCACATTGTGGACATACATAAAGGTAAAATTCATTGTGGTATATTCATATATGTACATAGGAAAGTTTGATCAGATTCATTCCACCATTTTTCCCTTTTCTTATCCCTTCTTTCTTCTCCTCAATTCCCTTACTCTGCTCCACTGATTTCTGTTTTCTGCATGGTCTTTTTAAATTATATTTTGCTCACTGTATGTTATACTTGACAATAATGAAACCTTGTTTGTCTTCATTTTAGGTGTTGTAGAATATTTGAGCACTGGTGGAGTAGAAACAAATCATAAAGACTTTAAGGAACTGAGATATAATGAAAGTCTTATAAACTTCAGCTGCAATGGGAAGAATGGAATGACCAACGGAAGGATCACTCATGGTTTCAAGTTAAAGAGTGCCTATGAGAGTGGCCTGATGCCTTACACAAATTACACATTTGATTTCAAGGTGTGTCTTAAGATTCATAAGCTTTTAAAAACCTCACTTTTACCAGCAAGTCTTGTCATTTCAGTTAAGTTTTAAAATGTAGGTATGTGTTCAAACTGGAATTAAGCAAATTCTTTGAAAGCAATATACTTTTAATTGCTCTTCTGTAGAATTCCATATATGATTAATGTCTCATCTTTATTTTCTCAGTTCTGTGAAAATATTTCCCAACGTGAGAAGTCACATGAAATAATGGTAGTAAATCAATTCCTGAGTTATCTTTTACCTTTTGGGAATAATTATGTTTCTTACTTGTTCATTACTAATAGCTGTATATGCAGTATTATAATACTGTTATCAAGTAAGATGAGGCATCCTTTTATAGTCTATTTTAAATGAAACTGTAATTCTTTGAATGCCATAATATGGTTTATATTAGCCAATTTTAAGTGTTTCTAAAATATATTTGTGTCTCTTACACAATTAACAGCTTGTAGTAGTGGAGCATCTCTCTTACATTTTTGGGATCATTGATTGTTTAGAGCTATGTCACTTTGTTGCCATTTTTAGTTATTTTCTGCATTTCTGTTTTCCTACATCTGAGTTTCCATTTTTGTCTATTAGAATATAAACGAGAGTTTAGGCAGAGTCTTAGGAGCTCTTGCACCTTAAAATGTGGAAATTATGACTTCTGTTGTCCTTAAGAGCTCCTTCCTTTTAGATTCTTAGGCAGACGATTGAAGAAAGACAAGAGTAATAATCAAAGGGTGGGAGAAAGTATAGATTTGTTTGTTTCCCCTCTACCCTCCCTCTTATTTCTGTTCCTACTAAAGAGATAGGAAGAAGGCATTTGTGTTCAGTGCTTTTGGTCAAAAGCAGGTAGAGAAGGGGCTGAAGTTATGGGAAGAGAAAGGCAAAAATAGCAGATTCATAATTATGTGCTAAATACTATAGAGACAGGTCTTATATTAGTCAACTTCCTGTTACTATAACAAAATACCTGAGATAATTTTATAAAGTTTTATTTTGGTTCACAGTTTTGGAGGCTCCTAGTACATGATTGAGTAGCCCCATGGCTTTGGAATCTTTGATGAGGCAGCAGCAAGCACATCATGGTGGGAGGGGATGGCAGAGCAAACTGATTCCCTCAAAAACCAGGAAGCAAAATCAGAGAAAAAGAAAGAAGAAGGATACCGATCACATAATTCCTTCAAGGCATGCCTTCAGTGACCTATGGACCTCTCATAAGACCCTACCTCTTACAGGTCTATAGGATCACCCCCAATAGAATTCCACTCTAGAGACCAAGCCTTTAAACACATGGACCTTTGGGGGACAGTCAACCTGAGGACTGTAGTAGGTTTCAGTCACACAAAAGAAGATGTAATTACAACTTGGGATGATCATTAGCAAGGGAAGAAAATTAATGGGTCAAAGTATTGAGTGGGAACAGGATTTAGGAAGCTCTTTGGAAAATGAACCCAACATTTGAAGAATAAGAGTAACTAACCAGATGACAAATAAAAGAAAGTGTTTGGGGCAGAAGAGGTAGCGTGTATGTAAACCCTGGGACAGGAAAAAATTTAGCATCTACAAGATACTTTCTTCCTCCACCCACCCAAAAGGTTTCTATGGTAGTAGAGTAATGAGCAAGGGGAAGTTAACAAAGCAAAGCAGAGGTAGTATCACAAAGATTCAGTATCACGAAGTTTCAATAGTATATTTGGTAAAGATCCAGATAAGAAGAATGTTTTGTTGTGCTAAATTTGATTTTCTTGGGACCATGTGGTTTCTATAATACTACCTCTTCCCATAAGCTAGTAAATTTGTTTTGTTTACCAAACATGTAAATGTAAGGGTATGTCTTAAAAACATTCAGTATTTCAGTGTTATCTTACGTGAGGTCTTGTCTTTTTTTATTATTTTTTTTCTTGTTTCTTGTTTTTCAGGGTATAATTGACTACATCTTCTATTCTAAACCTCAACTGAACACTTTAGGCATCCTGGGACCTCTGGACCACCATTGGCTAATTGAGAATAATATCAGTGGCTGCCCACACCCACTTATCCCCTCCGACCACTTCTCACTTTTTGCACAACTGGAGCTCTTACTGCCTTTCCTGCCCCAAGTTAATGGCATTCACCTTCCTGGCAGGAGGTAGTCAAGTACCTACAGAGGATAACCTCAGTTTTATTTGTAAACTTGTGAAAAATCTGAATATAGGGAAGTGAGGTATTGCCACTAGGGATTTTTCTTAATGATGATTTGAATTTTCAATCTGATTATTTGAAATAAGGATAAAGTATGAAAGCCAGGTGCTAGCAACAGACAAATTCTGAGCCCAATATGCTTTATATTACTGCTAGACAGGGATTGGTGTGTTTGCACCTATCTTTAATTTGTTACAAGTAATTTTCCTGTTTCTTCTATCCAGTATAATATTTTCATGCCTTGAAATAGGAAAATGTTTGAACAGCATATTCTCTTTGCACAGAAATCTGTAGCACTACTTTTTTGAGGCCAGTAGTAACATCCAGAGACCATTCTTCCAGACTTCCTCCTTTTTCAGACTTGTTTGTAAAATATAGAATTTAGCCTTGATGATTGTATATGATCCACAGAAGACCTGATTTATGAAATTTTTATACTTAAAAAAATCAGATTTGAAAATGATTGTATTGTAAACTAAGGCTAAATTTTTTTTTTTTTAAATCCTGTTTCCTGTGTTCTGAAGGCCAGCTTGTAAAAGAGTTGCAACAGACTTTCTCTGCAATGATTTGCACTGTTAGGGTTTTGTTAGCCCTTTTGTACTACTTTATTTTTAAATTGAGAACAATTGTTCTTTAAATCTAAGTCTGCTTTAAACCTTAGGACGTTTTCTTGGACCAGCAGCAACTTATTCATGAATTCCTGAATTTTTTCAAAAACTCTCTCTCTACCAGGACAGATAAGCTGAACAGTGATCTGTAGGCATTTATGGTCTGAATGTGATGGTTGATTATATGTACATTCTGATATTTTTAAACCTTTAACTGTTTTTAAGTTATAAACTTATAGCTGCTTAGGTACAGCTTCTTAACTCCTCTTTGAGACACTTCCTGTCCTATCTCCACTGTGCCTGCCTAAATTTGTTCTCACCAAGCACTGCCTGTGCATGCAGAGAAAAATCTGTGCATCCTCTTTTATATTTTTTAAATACTGTTTAACATTTGTGAGAATTTTATGAAAATGCTTTTGTATGAGCTGTGGCTTTTTTCTCATTGTGAAGCATTGAATATCATATTTTGGAATATGTTCATAGGGTGGGTCCCTGGGTCTTTGTACACCAGACCCAAGCACTGCTTCTAGGTGTCATTACACAGTGCTGTTTGTCACCCAGAATACTATTATCATGTGAATTATTTTTGGTTATCTATGTATTCCTTATGTATGTTTTTTAATCATTCCTTTTTTAAGAAAAAGTAATTTTCCATTCATGAAGCAGTATGAATTAGATGTGTTTTCAAAACAGGTCCCTAAGGCAATTCTTCAGATCATTTTTAAAGTGACTAAGTCATTTTAGTGTCAACCAAGATAAAAGTTATATGTACCCTGTGTTTTGCCCATAGTGCCATTAGTAGATTTGAGATTAAAGCCAGCTTTAACTGTGCAAAGTTAAATTGTATATGTTCTGTTCTCATTCATTCTTCTCTCAAAAATCAAATGAATTCAGAGGGAGCTAACTGCTTTTGTTTCAACTGCAGGCAGGGGAGCAAAAGGACACCATGTGAGCATTAAGAAAAAAATTGTTGAGTGTTATTAACAATTTTTATACAGAGAATGAGTCATTTTGGATAATGACTTAAAATTTTATGAAAAACATTCAGCACTTAAATGTGCTTATTCTGTTTTTTAAGAGAAAAATAAAATTATATACTGTTTAAATAAATGATTTTTTCTTTTTCTTTTCTTTTTTTTCCCTGAAGAAATTCTTCAAAAGGTTTTGATCTTGAATCTTTTGTCTAGGACCTGGTTTTTCCTTTAAGTTTTGTTTTGTTTTATTTTTTTAAAGATTTTGTTGTGATGGTTTTTCTTTCTTTCTTTCTTTCTGTTTTTTTTTTTTTTAAGTTTTAATGACACGAACATATCCAGTTTATAATCAGTACATTGGAAAACATGTAGAACCAGTACATAACTTTTTATGGTATGTTAGTTTTGGTTTGGTTTGGTTTCTTTTTTCTTTTTTTTTTTTTTCTAAGTGTGAATAAAGGTGTGTTTACTTATTTTTCCTAAACACTGTGTTGGTAACGTGTGCATCATGAGAATTTCCAGTTTTCCAGTGAGGGTGAGCTGGAGCTGGTTGGACTGATGAGACCAAGGAAGCCGCTTTTCCTATGACCTGCATTATGTAATCACGGGTCCAGAGAGCTTTGTGGAAAGGGAGTGGAGGAGCACTTAACTCATTTTATATGTGTTAATGAAATATGTATTCTTTTCATAGATGCTGGAACTAGAGTGCACTTGTTAGATGCTAAAGGTTTGAGCTTTACACATAATGTTTTCATCTGTATTTGTTATTCTCTACAATATATTTGAATTTGGGGACAGCATATTAAGATATAATGGCCTGTTATGTCTTGAAAATACTTGGCTTTGCCTCTTTCAGGCATACCACATTCTGTGGGTCAGCTTGAACAGCCTCTGTGTAGATAGTGATAAATTGAACCAAGAGTGTTGTAGATTTACAACTATAACCTTCAAAAGAGAAAGAAAATATTTTGAGTCTATAGAGAATAAACAATCGCACCAAAATAGATTATACTTTTGTTAAGCAAGGTCTTATGTTTTAATATTTTCTGTGTCCCGAATAATTTCCAGTAATCTATACTTACTAAAATGCAATAAAACTAGTCTGTTTTCACAATGTAGATTATTTTTCAGAAATTCTGTCAGGAACATACTTAATGTTTTGCCATAATGTAATTTCAGTTTTCCTGTAGGATAAATCCAAATTAGGAATGTTTTACAGAAAATATGAGGTGTGTTTTCTGTTTTAAAGATAAGAAATTTGGAGGCACTCAATTCCTTGTTGTAAATCTCTTGAAGTACAGTTTACCATATTTGTGGTGATTATTTATGCTTTGAGAATTTAAAATAATGTTCATCAAGATTAATTTATGGTGTAATTTAAACTACAGTTATAGAAATAAATTGATTGCAACTTTAATAGTCCCAGAAAATAAGCAAAGAACATCTCCAAGAAATGTGTTTTTGTTTGTATTTTTATTTGATTTGGTAACAACCAGTAAAACATTTTTAGGGTTAGCACTTTTGAAACCTAAGGACATCATTAAATTTGGTAAAATGCACTTCTGAATATTGAAATTGTAATTTCAAAGCTCTTCTAAGATTCAGATTTTCAAAAATAACATTCAAATTTTAGAGTTCCGCATTTTTACTATTTAAACTAAGGGAATTAATTTCCATCATGATAAGAGGGTTGGGGGCCATGTCATATAAGGACAAAAGCCAATCTAGGCAAAGTAGTCTTTAATTATTCATTCAGAATATTCAGTACATACATTGCAGATAATTCATAGAACACCTTAAGCAAGTTTTTCTCCCCCAATCAAAAGCAGTATTTTAAGATGTTTGCTTTGTTCTTCTTTTTGGTTACATAAATTTTAAAAACTGGTATGTTGATGTGGTGTCTAAAATAGAGTATCTAGTCATTTTACTCACAGTACATTATATTGTGTAATGCACTGGACTATCTCTTGTTTACCATTCATATATCAAAACCCAGCACATTATCTGCACTAAGCTCTAAGAATGTCACATTTGCCTAGGCAGCTCTTTGATAAGGGTAATGGGAAACTGAATTTATACCATATGGACTGGTGGTAACAAGGGCTTTTACTGTTCTTTTCAGTGGAACCTATTTGGTCAAATTGTAACTAGCTAGTATTATATTTATATACAGGGTCTCTTTTCTTTACTGATGTATTTTCCTACTCATAGCCAACCAATAAATTCAATATCTGTTTCAAATATTTTAAAAGTGTAATTTGTATAGTTGTAGTACTTAGGTTTGAGAAAAATAACTGTTAATCAGCAGACCACATATTTAAAATTTTCAGTCATCTGGGACAGGGTTATAACTCACCCTTTCAAAGGGATGAGTAAATGGGGACAGGGCCACGATATGGGGAAATGGTGTAAACATATGTATTTCCTTATTGGCTGTCTTATTCTGTGTAACACTCATATATTTGCCAAAGTTCAATGTTATATTTAGGCACCTGATGATCTTTTTGAATTTAGGATTTTTGTTGTTGCCATATACCTCATAATATAAGAAATGGACTGATGTGTCTTACGTCTTTTGGAAGGAGGTTGACATATTTTAAATAAATGCGTTTAAATACAGTAGCAAACATTGTGTTGGGATTATACTAATTTATTAAATGTTTACATGGTACATGTTTATTTTGTTGTTTGTGTAACCTTTAAAAATGTGTGATTTTCTAAGTCTTCAGATGTGGGGATAATTATAATTGAGAAAACATTGGTTTGCTTTTTAGGAACTAGTTCTCTAACAGTAAATGTAAATTTCATGTGGGTGCTGGATTAAAAAAAAATCATTTAAAATCAGGAGTCAGTTTAGAGAAAATAAGTGTTTGCTGAGATGTCCCATTATTACTACTAGTTTTGCCATATAATTGTGCAAAAACAAGTATAAAAAAGATAACGAAAGTATGGGTGCCATGGTATTTTATAAATTCTAATCAGTGTTCTTTTTAGAGGAATAAGTACCTAAAGAAACATGAATTGAAATATATTCGGAATAACATCAGGTTTTGGGTAATGGTGTGACCTTGTATATACAAAGATTTCTTTTTGGCTAATATTTACTTATTTTAAATTTCGGTCAATTTTAAAATAAGTTTGCACAAATATTGCAAAGATCATTTTGTCATAACAGGATACTTTGCAAAAATTTAGTAAAAGATGACTTTTGGTAGAATTCAGGATGATTTGAAGAATATTTTATAAGTAAATTTGCCCTGAAAAATAGCCATAAGTCAGAATATTATTAAGTTCTTTAAGTTTAGAGTCTAGCCAGTCTATAGCTAAGAATTTAGAAAAGTGCTGGATTATAGGGTAGATTAAAAACCCAGTTTCTGTGGTTTCCTTAACATATGTAACATTTCCACATAAATAAGATATTTTGTTTTGTTTTGTTTTAGCTGCAAACTTCCAATCTCTCTAGTCTGTCCAAATTATTTTGGATCTAACTCAAGAAACTTTTGCTTACTCTATGAATGTGACCTGATATGGGCTTCAAGCATCTTATTGTCCGGTACTTCATTAGCAAAGTGAATCTAAGCTGCTGGGTACAGATTCAGTGGGTGAAAGGACTACATATCATTGGTCCATTGGTGAATCATGATGGTTAATGTCAAACCACTTTTGTTGTTCATATACTCATGCAAGACTCAATTGTAATTGAGAATTACACAACATTTGGAATTGTAGATGTTATGCTTAGTTTGGAAGTAAGATATTTACAGGTACAATCTTTGTGCCTCGTTGATCATTATAATCTAATGCAATAAGTGCTACAGATACACCATTTATGTAGGGAGCAACAATCTACATAAGCCTGAAAAATCTCTCAGAGGTAATCTCTGAGCTGTATTTTGAAGGACCAAGAACTTCTTTCCAGGATGAATAATGGAAACTCCTAATAAAGGCCTTTTGGAATATCTTTAACTATAAATGGAATGGATTTTGAGCATAATGTGTGCCAATGAGTACAGAGCACACCAGTGAAGTGACTGGACTGGAACATGATGAGTAAAGTCGGAGGTGCCTTTAGAACATGACCAACATGTCAAAAGTTTGAACTTCATCCAGTAGGTGATGTAAAGAGCCACACAGGTTTTAAATGGGAGTAGCATTGCTAGATTTTTGTTGTAGGAAGATACCACCAAGCAATACTGTGTTGAATGGATGAAAAAAATAAGACTAATTGGTGTCAGACTAAGCTGGCTTCTGGTGTGGTTCAGTTGACATATTTTAAACTGATGAGGGCTTGCAGAGAAGAATAAAAAGAAGGGGAATTTGAAATAGAATTAATGAGAACCTCAATTTCTACCTTGCAGGTGGGTGAAGAGACAGTAAGTGAGTTTTATCTAAGACTCATTGTTTTCATTAGAGTAAACCCTGATTCAGTGTGTGCTCTGTCTTCCACTTTCGTTTATTGATTTGACAAAGGTATTTTTTGACAAAAAAGATTTTTTTCATTTGTTACACCATTTCATGTTACTTTTAATTCAGATTTTAGTCTGAATTAAATTCAGATTTAGCCCTTACTAAATAACTAATTACAGAAAGTAAATTGTTTTTAAAAGCTTGTTTTTTAAGGCTTTTTATATTACTGAAAATGGTTTTAGGTATAAACTGCCTTCCAGAGAGGTTACTGGTAAGACTAAGCATTAGAAGGTATATAAGTAGAGCAATACTTAACAGATCAAAGGGATCCAAGAATTCTAAACACATTTTTTTTCTTGTGTGAAGGATTAACTCTGTTCGTTAGCAGACCTGAACCATGAGAGACTTTTGAACACTTGAACTATGAGTAGTGTGACTGGCACAGTAAAATATTTCTTTGTTAAATGAAACTTGATTATAGGACCATTTTTACCTGTTATTTCGTGTAAGATAATCGTTTCATTACTTGTTCATATTATACATAAACTAATAGCCAGTTGATGTCAAAGAATGGATTTGATTGTAACCAACATTTACTAATGATCAGTAACATTATATGGTATTTATTTATCTGAGTATTTTATGGAGACAGCTGGGGTTGCTATACTATATATATCCTAATTCAGACCTAAATTGAAGATTGAAATTTGTAATACAGAGTATATTCTCCAG